AACAGTCTATACTCTATACAATTTTGTTCAGTGTAACAATATAACTTATTTCATGTAGTCTTGCATAGGATTTATTGCCAACATTTTAGGCGATGGTTAGTGCTTTATATCAAGTCCCCCCATCTCTCTTCTCATTAAAGTTTGTGTCACTGTAAAGATGTGACTTGCCTATACATTTTGAAGAGTTGTTTTACTTCCCTGCTGATGAGAACGATTTATTAAAAAATATATCATAAAATCATTATTGATATGCAACCCATGTGTCATTGAATGATTGATTTGAAGTTTCTGGTTGGTGTTATCTATATTTTCATCGTCGTCACGAATATGCTCATGTTTAAGAAGCTGTAGTGTTTTATGATATTTGTGATAAGGGGAATTTTATTAGTCTTTTCTATTTGGAATCCTGCAGTTTAGAGTTCTTAAAAAATGCCATTTTGGACCCTACCAATTACGCAAACAGCCCTGCTACGTGTACAGAAAAATGCTGCCAGAATTGCAAAAGATTATACTTGGCAGCTTTCAATGGGAAAATGGTTAACAAAAATGCTACGTGTACAGAAAAATGCTGCCAGAATTGCAAAAGATTATACTTGGCAGCTTTCAATGGGAAAAAAGTTAAAAAAAAAAAAAAAAAAAAAAAAAAAAAGGGCACACCGGCAGCAGTTCCTCTGTGCAAGGGGAATTGCTGGGCTGTTTGGGAGTGATTCTTGGGTGACAGAAATCTGTCCAAACGGGGGGACATGTGGCGATTTCTGTCCAAGCGGATTAACCCTTAACTTTTACCTGCCAGAATCCCTCGACTGACCATGCTTTAACAAATATTTATTGTTAAGAAGAGTCCAAGGTAGCATGATTGTTGTAATGTTAAATAAAATACAAGAATTTGTTGGTATAGAATGGTCCTGCGTTTGATTTTATTTTATTTATTTATTTTTTCTTTTCAGTTTCATTAGCGAATTAGCCAAATTAATTGGATTGTTTAGAATATATTAGTGCAAGAGAACAAATACTCTAAAATGTGAATTTCTTAAGAACAGAGATGGTTGCAACTTTGGGACTTTGAGCAACATCGTGGAGGTGTTCTTTTAAAAAATATTAAGAAAAAATCTTAATAGAGCAAAAGATTAATAACATAAACAAATGTTTGTTGGTGATTTGGGTGTAATTATTAATAATTACATATCCAGTGTCAGCAAACAGTAAAACCTCCCATTTTGATGCCACACCTTCGAATACTTGTTAATTTTTTATGACAAAAGCTGATGGTTGAAAATATGGCAAGTCTACAACTGTTTCGAGATGTCGACTCTAAACTTCAGAAAGGAATCATAATCAGGAGCAGACAAAGTGACCCCAATTGTAGGCTTTCTCGAAGATTACTTCGTATCATATCTAGATAATGTCAAGAAGCTTAATATGTGCTGCACTTGATCGAAGATTACTTCGTATCATATCTAGATAATGTCAAGAAGCTTCATACGTGCTGCGCTTCAAGTGGAAAATGGCTCACATATTGTCTTTTCAATTCTTTCTATTATGGGATGATGCCCATTTGTGTCGTCATGCAGTTGGCTAGATCCACGCGAAGCTGCAATCAATGGAATGACTCATACTTGGAGCTAATTTTCATCGTCAGAATAGTAGGAGTCTAATTGAATAGAGGTATCTTCAAGTTAAGTTGGTGAGCAGGTGCCAAGTATGGAAACAAAATGCTCAATTGCACATATATATTTAATGAAAATGAGACTTTTTGAACTTTAGAAAAAGTAAATAAGCTGGAAAAAGGTTCCACTGGGGACCATGCATAAGAAATCAGTTTTTAAAAAGTTGTCTCTATCTCACCTCAAATTAGGCTCCCAATATTCTCTACGTGGTCAGTCATCCATTTTCCAGTACGGTTGTGTACGAGACAAGCTACAAGGTCAACTCAGTCTTGTTATTTCAGTGAAGTTTTCGCCACAATAGGGGGCCAAGAATCTGCATTCACCACATCATCTCGAGTTCCTTCTCATGTACAATGCAAACCTCTGCATTCTTCATCTCAAAGAGCAGAAAATCAACCTTTTTTAATGAACACAGTAAACATCCTGTATTGGCATTCTGCTTAAAAAGACATAACAGCAAGCTCGTTTTTGTTGAAAAGCACCAAACTCTGGTCAAGAATTAACACTATCAGACAATACTATCTAGTACAACAGGCTAGATTTTATTTTCTTGTTTTTTCCTTGGTTCTATCCAATCCAAGATGATGATCTAATCAAGCAATTTAACTGGGAATATATACAGTTACATACCATCAAAAGAATTAACAGCACTCGAAGAACAAATTAATTAATCCCATTACCTAAAAATTTGTTCACCTCGATTTTGCGCAAGTTTTTTCCTGGACTCTGGCTGCGAATATAGAACAGAAAAACTTCTAAGCACTACTCATGAAAAGGCCATTTGAGAAACCTACGAGTTCAGAGCAATGTGGCTACCAACATGATTGCCAACAGCTGTTGTCATCAACACAACAAGATCCTCTAACATCAGAATTGGATAAAGAGACAAAGAGACCTCTTTCTCATCAACACAAACAAGATCCTCTTAACATAAGAATTGGAGACCGAGATCAATTTCTTCTAAAAACTGAGAACTTGGAGAACCTCTCACAAAATATAAAAGCTCTATTGTTTACATTCCCGTAATGTACATATAATTCTCAAGGGCATAACTGGTGCTAAATGTTAGACAGAATTCGACACAACAAATGACAAGATTTGGTCTTCATTTATTTCTTAATAGTGTCCAGTGCTGTCCAGTCCAAACATTGCTACAAGTATCTCACAATTCAATCAAGAAAATCCGTAGAAATTCCACATGCCAATGCATCATAAAAGAGGTGATAACCGAGAAGAACTTCCAAGAAATGATGCAGCAGGAAAAGAAACAAAATTCTAGAAGCAGGAACCAACCACGCAGGTAAAGTTAGCATGAACGTTAGTCTGTCTTTAACCTGTACTCAGCATGCATACTCACATGTCAATGTCATGATTATCAAAAATTTCCCATCCCTCATCTATGACTATATGTTCCTTCCTATTATCTCGGGTTGCTTTGTTTTCAGATATCTGTTCATCAAAACAATGCTCTGGATCACTCTTCCCTGGGTTCTCCAATGAATCGACCTGGGCAGGTACTGGCTCAACTTGGTCAGGAACCAAGGTTTCAAAGGATGAGCTAGACGAAGCTAAAATAGAGCTGGTCTGGCTGGAAGATAGAAATTTGCTAAACAGAACATGGTCATCGAACTTCTCTTTTAGCATCCTCACATCTTGACGTATAACAGCTATTTCTCCTCTGAGAGAGGGGAAAATCAGATATATGCCTTATTAGTTTAATTATTTCAAATTATTAACGCAGAAAAGAAATCAAAAAATTTTAAATACATATATATCGAGGAAAAGCAATGAAAAACCTCCATATGATTTCAGGACCATATACAAATCCTTGATCTCAAATTAGGACAAACACATTTAAACAGGTCGGTCATATACGAAAACTCAGTTCTTGAATTAAAATTTCTTATTTAAATGTAAAATATACAAGCTGCAGAAGTTACATTATAAACAAAAACAGGAGATGATGTGAATTTGGAAACTTTAGGCTAAAAAAAAAAAAAAACCTACAAGTTCTTGATTATAAGATGGATCTATGTACTATTAAAAATCACCAATTATAACATTATAAACTACAAAAGCACATGAAACAAAGCTAAATAAATACAATTTAAAGAACACAATTTCGTCTTGTTTCATCATCAGCATTAGAAAAATTTCACTTGCTCATTAGTAAATATGATGACACTACTACTAAAATCCTCATGTTTCATAACTCTCATAAGATTGCAGATATGAAATTGAAATGCCACTTTCTGAACATCAAATGCTGGAAATTGCAATTGTACTCAGCCTACACATTCCAGGAATTGAAGGGCATTAACGGATTAATATATCTCCATACTGTTATTTGAAAGAATTTCTAACGTTTCCCCTGAAAACATGTACAGACAATCACAATAATAATAAAAAAATTCGGGGCCAAAAATTGGAAGAACTACATATTCAATTCTGTGCATCATTTTGATATTGATTTGAACATGAAATAGAAAAGTTAACCTCATACCCCAATCAGAGATACGCACAAATTAAACTCTCGAAGTAGAAGAGAAAGGAAAGATAGTAACAGAAGCTCATATGACTTACTGCAATATATCTACAACACGACCACGGTCCACAAGAAATTCCCTCAACTGCAATACAACAAGAGCACAACAATCAAATATATAACCTCAGCAAAAAAAAATTAATTAATTAATTAATTAAAAAAAAATTGTGACTGAATAGCAACAAAAATGGATCATTTAGAAATAATCTATTAACTTCTTTTCTTGGCAAATGGGCACGCTGTGGAAACCATTGAAATTCAAGTCAGCATATGAGACAGAAGCCACTACTACCTTGGCATTTTGTTCTGCCTGTTGCTTCAATATTTTTGACTCCTGCACCACTGTCTCCATTAGCAATTCTTGATTAGAAAGTGCTTTTCGTGCAGAATTTTCCTTTTCTACCTTTTCCTGCTGCACAGATTTTATCACGTCCTCAGCTGCAGCTAATCGCATCTCCAAAGTCTTATGTATCTGCAGGTAAATGCTTATGAATAAGTAAGTACTTTGGTTACTGAGCCTCCAAGAATTCACATTATGTTTCATATGATAGAAGAATCAATATTGACATGTTATATAATGTATCGGTTGGCCAAAGCAGTGTCTGGTACAGAAACACAATTGCTATAGTAAAAGAACATTCTAGGTGGAAGCATCAAGAGTTGAGACTCAAGAGTAGCTAGGATAAATGAAATGGGGATTGCATTCCAAATGAGGGAGATTGCCTTAAAAAATACACACTCATTATAGGAGTAAAATAGAAAGTGGATATTAATTTGGGAAAAACAATGTTTTGAATAGTCATTTTCTTGCAATAGTTACCGGTCTTTAAGTTTAGAAAGTTTCCACTGGTTATTTTAACAAGTTTCAGTCTTAAGAATTTACAAAGAAATAGGATTAGTATTGTTGAATATCTCAGAAAATGATTTATGCTATTCAATATTGTGAAGATTACTCTCTCTACCCCCTCATACTTGATTGTTATTCTTTCTTCTTTTTCATTCTCTTACTCTTTACCTTTATATATCACAATATATGATCAACAACAAAGCAAACTATTATTATTTAAAAATGTACAAACAAAACAATAGTATCACCCAATTATTCCATCCAGCACGAACCAAGGAGAAACTCAGTTTAAAAAGGAAAGCAAATATTAGCAAAGACAATTCTCTAAAAAAGAAACAAAGATTATTCTTATCCTTTTCTTTACTTGCCTTCTGTTTTCCTCTCTGTTTCCTCCCTTGAGGGAAGAAGATTAGAAAGCACGATTGGAAGAAGAATGCAGGGAATCATGGAAAGCAACTTTTTGAAATAGTTAAAAATATTTGCTAATTAACTAAATTCAAAACAATGTCTGTCTGATGTTTTCAGATCTGATGCGAGTATAATGGGAATGCATGGCAGAAACCGAAATCACCTCATGAAGAATTGCAAGCGATTTGTCTCTTTCATCTGACAAAGAGAGAACACGAGATCGAAGCTCTTTCAACTCAGTAGATAGGATGGCTTTTTCACCATATACTTCTCCAGCATGCTGCTAACAGAAGAAAAGAACACCATATTTACATGCAAGTCTTTAGCTCAAGATAAACAAGAAATAATACTATCAGCAATAGGAGTAGAACCTCGTCATTTGCCTCCTTCGCACGTTGCACCATTTGTCTTAGCTCTTCAATCCTATCCAGTATATCAGCGCTGCCCTTAGCAGCTTCCATTTTGGCTTGTTCTGCATTTTTCTCTTTAAGCTCCACTTCCTTCATCATGCTGATAACAGACTCCATGGCAGAAAACAGGGTTTTCTGCACCATAGTATATTGTAAGGCCTAATGTCCAATAAAAATCAAACAAGACGAAAAGTAACCTCATTCTTTTTCTTTACTTACTGTAGGGAAATCTTAGACAACATTTGAAGATAGACACATTTCGTGGAGCTTACTATATGATTGTACATTAAGCATATTGAATAACGATCCTCTTTTTTTCTCTTTTTTTAAACAGATACAGTCTTCATATTTACTTTGTTACAATGAAACTACTGAAATGCGCTATTCCAAGGTGCCTTGCGCAAACAGATCAAACTCTTCTCCATTAGATTTTACAATTTCAATTTCCAACTGGATCTTAATACAAATTTAATATTCTTTATTGAGAAATAATATTAAATTCCACTACTATGAGAAATACTTGACTGAATTGACTAAATTGTTAATAATTAAATTCTTAATTGCAAGGTAGAATTTAGACTAATTCACAGCCTTAGCCATCAAATTATTATGAAGGAATAAATAGTATCATTTCATGCAATAAACTCCATCTTTTTCCTATGCTTAAGTTCAATTAATAAACGACAAACAATAAGAGTTTGACATTGCTGATACCTTGTTATTTCTTGAATCTGCAATGACATCCTCAAGAAGATCAATGACACAGATTTGTCCAGATCGGGACACACTGGCATTCAAGATAGACCCATCTTCAATACCAACCATTTCATCGGTAGCTTCTTTCTTAGGAGTAGCATCAGTTGACAAACATATGTCTAGTTTCTTTACATTACTCTCTTGCACATCAGGTACTACTACCAATTGTTCACTGTTTTCCTTATGGATTGCCACAATAGAATCACTACCTAACGACCCATCAAATTCTTCAAGGTCAGGCACAAGATTCATGTTTTGATTGACGACTACATCCATACCATCCAAAGTTCTCCGTGTTTGACTAGGACTATGATTAGATACAGTTTCAATACTGCTTTCTGGACAGTTTCCAGCTGAAATCATTTCCTCTCTTTCGAGGTCTGCAGATATCTTCGTTTGTTTGTAATTTGCCCCACTTTTATCAATCACAGTAACCCGTTCAACATGATGAAATGCATCAGCACTAATCCCTGCACTACTTTTCTCACATTTCTCTGATAATTTCAAGCCAGGTATCCTGCCAGCTCCTTCTTGATTACCACTATTGATATCTTGGAAGGGTTCGTGATGTTCATCATTTGCATCATGAAATGATTGCTGAAGTCCTCCAATCCCAGCAGTTGGAATGGCACCTATAAGAGCTGTTGTAATCAAAGATTGAGACAGTGGGACCAACTAAAAAATTAAGATCCTTCATTTTTTATTTTTTATTTTTGTCAATGAAGATTTGTCCAACCTGGAGATGCAATTTGACTAAATGATTCATGAATCATCTAATTGCTGATTATGGTCTCTCTCTCTCTCTCTCTCCCTTTTTTTTTTTTTTTTTTCTAAGTTTCGCTCGATTCATATACTTCTACTTCTCTTGATCGAAATAAGAGAATTGAATTTACTTTTAATAGAATAATAAACCTTCGGGGAACTTCCATTCACGGTAACTATACTTTGACTCTAGTTTCAATCACGTAATTGTACTTCAATTTTGAACAATCAAATAACTTCTCTTTCGTTTGATTTCAATTGGATAACTACACTTTTATGTGATCTCAATTAAGGTAACTCCATCCAATTTCATCTCACGGAAATTCATGGCATGGTAGTCCATAAATGATGGTCATCACGTGTCTGTTAGTTGCTAATGTTGAATAAGTGCAACTTCAATTAAATAAATGACAACCATCATCATTGACTATCAGTTAAATAAATGGCAACCATCATCATTGACTATCAGTTAGATAAATGGCAACCATCATTGTTGACTACCACGTCATGACTTCCATCAACTCGACTGACAGAGCTGGACAAATTTATCATAGTGAAATCAAATTAAATTGTAATTTCCGAATTGAACAAAATTGATGTATTAAAATTCAGTTATAGATTGACACTTGAGTAAGTGTTAGTTATCACAAATGGAATTTATGCATGAATCTTCTGCATGCTTCTAGAAAAATTAAAAAAAGAAAAAAGAAAAATCAGTTTACAAAATTGAGCATTTTATTCAAGAAAACAGCTACCTTTAGATGATTCACCCACATTCATGCTCCCACTGGACTGACAACTTTGTCTAGATCTTTCAGTGAAAAATGGGATAATCTCCTCAAGGACTGCGTCAATAGCAGCATCAGCATCCTTGCTATGCTCAATGGCAACAGCTCTAAGAACTCGAGAATCAATCTGCCCCCACAAAGGAAGAATAAAAGGCATCAAAATGTGCCTGTGCCTAATCCCTTTTCTTTTATGAAATAATATTTACCATTAATTTTTTTAAGAGAAAAAAAATCAAGAACAGAGAATGTTGTAATAAATACCCTTAAAAATTATAACCAAATTAACAATCAAAATTAAAGAAATTTCCCCTTCTTTGACATTGTCATTGTGGGGTAGGGCGGTGGGTGAAATCCAATCTCATATTTTCCTTACAAAACATCAGTCTTAAAGGGTTTTCAGAAGTCAATACCATTTTTATATATACAAATTTTCACAATCCAAAAATGTAAAATAACGTATTTCACAATCCAAATATACAATCTCCAAGAAAAATCTTTACCAACACCATATTTTTGGTTCACTACAGTTCCTAATTTTATCTATTCATTTGAAGCCCTTAATTAGAAAGAAGAGATGATCACGATGAAAAAATATCCAGATTATTACCGATGAAATCCGGAACCTAGAAAACCCAATTACCTGCGGGAAAATTTCCTGCAACACCTTATATACTTCGTTGAATCCCATTTGAAATTCTACAAATCAATTCTGCAATTCAAAAAATAACACATTTTAGCCAAATACATAAATTACTCTCAAAATTAATCGAACTCATTAGATAAATCCAAATTCAAGAACATAAATACACTGAGCATTGAAACAGCATACATAATCTTCAAAAACCCTATCCCATCATTACTACACATACCGGTTATATACATAAATCAGTCAAACAAAAGAGAAATAGACATAAAATATAATAATAATCATATCAATAACATTAACATTAAAAGGTAAACCATTGGTTATTCTTGGTAAAAAGAATCGAAATTCGACACAAGAAAATAAATAAGATACGAACTTTTCGAACCTTGTAATTCTTCCGTTTCTTTACCAGCAGAAAAACAAAACAAGAGGAAGAAAACTGATTATATATTTCAATGCGGCCAACTAGAAAGAAGAGCGAAAATTAAAAGAACCCTAGTTAGGTGATCAAATGGGAGCTGAAATTCGTTAATTGGCGCAGTAATTATCACAATAAAATCAAGGAGAACGAGTCATATGCGCCAGCCTCCATATATTCTTCTACGTATATTGTTAACGGGTTAATTCCCTAATTGGTCATTCAACTTTGCCAAATATTTCCATAGGGTCATCGAACTTTAAAACTTTCCTAGATAATCATTGAACTTTGCATAAACCCATATGTTAACAGCACTGAAATTGCAATCCAAATCTAGACGATGCTAAGGTGGTATTAAATAATAAGTGAAAATAAATAAGTCATTTAATTTTATATTCTATTTAACCTACCATCTAGAGTTACCTATATTGGGGTTGTAACCCAGTGAGGTTAAATAACGTTACTCATGCTAACAAGAGAATATGATAAATAACATATTTAAAACCATCTTTAGGAGACTGGGATAATTACGTATTTGTGTTTTGTATCCTCAAATTGGACCTGAATTGTGAAGTCGGTTCATTTTTATCTCACGATCACGATATAACTAGATCAATAAATATTAGTTTGATTAGTCAATTGTTGATTAAAGAATTATATACAATTGTTTTTTTATTTCTTTTTTTATTTTATTCACATATTTCGTATCATCTATAACTTTGTGTCAAATTTTTAATTACACGTTTCATCATTTTTATCAAATTTTGTTAAATTTTTTGACACACGGGTCATAAATTTTATCCTAGTGCAATTAACACTAACGTAACCATAATGAAAGAAAAATTTGACAGGTAAGTAAGAAGAATAAATTAATAGCCAATATTGTTACAAAAAATGATGGAAATCTGATTGAAAAAGCTGACCAACTCTCCGACGAAGAAATTCAATCCAGGTGAACTCAAGGTTATATAGCTGCATTAACACGAAGAAGACGAGGTAATAATTTTAAACAATGTTTATTTAATACAGTGTCCACTGTTGTCACAATACTGAAATAATTGGAATTTTTTTTAATAAAGCTTGTTTGGCATGGAATTTTCCAAATTTTTTGAAGAATGTGTTCTTGAAAAGTTGTGAGTTCTATAAAATATATTGTTGAAAATGATTTTAGAAAAGTATATGACAACAAGCCTTGAACAATTGTAGCATATAATGTTGGCTTTTACAAGGGAGATTGGCAACAACAGGGACAAATTCAAGGCAATGGGCTTCTTGCTGAAAAAACTCTCCATAATTCACTAGTTGAGTTGACCATGAAGTTCTTTTGAAGAGATGGAAATCCATTGAAACTAATGACAACTTTCTTCGTATTCATTTCTTAAATTATTGAAGGTCGTCATTGTAGGGAATCTACTTAACATGCGCAGTGAAAAATTAAAACAATTTTTGATTTCCACCACGGATCTCTTTATGTTTAGATAGAAATTGTGATAAAGGTGATACATTTTCTAGATTTGTAAATTCCTTTGCCTTTTCTTTTGTCAGCAACCTTAATCTGCTTTCCACAGCTGTCCAATTGTCTAGCCTCCAACGATAATCCACATAGAAAACAAGATTGTAGGATTAAAGTTTTTACTTATGCTAGCAAGAATAATAAATTCTCTACCAAATTGTAAACTCTAATCAGTTATTTATATAAGCCCAAACGGACTTAACTTGACCCGGTCCGTGACTTAATTAATCCAATTAATTAATTCGAGCCTGTAAATAACCAACTCAATTAATTAATTTATTCAACGATTGTTAAATTAATTAATTGAAAAATTGCAATAATCCAATTCTCTTTTGTGTGCGATCCATCAGGTTCCCGATCACGATACCTAACAACGTAAAATATTATTTTGATCTAATCAAAATTGATAAATTAAAATACCTATTTAATTTATTACAAATTCACACTCGCTGTCCTAAATTGACATCTAGCAATGTGTCGGGCAATACATGTGACATGAAATGTTACGTGGTATGACAAAATCAAACTCGTTCGTTTACTGTAAAACTATAATCCTTTCGTCAATATGATCCGATTAATTACGAGATATGAAAGTGTGTATTATCAATCATATCTTTCACTCCACTATTAAGTCAATATAAGTCGAAAACTTCTTTTCAACTTATGAGTACACATTAGCCAAAGATTTCATTATCGACTTAATTGAATGAAACGCAGATCATAATCTCTTACTATCTAAGAGTAACAAATCCTCTATTGGTCATTTACAACCTTTATACGATTCTTAACATACCCGAACGATGCCGTATTAGCGGCCATTGGTAAAACAACATCCAACACCCCCAAAGTATGATTGTCCTCATATAAGGTATCATAACGACCTCAAGTCAAAGAACTAATTCCACTACTAAACGTTAGAGATTAACTACTGACACTCAGATAGTTATCCATGTGGAGTCTCTCGGTGGGTCTCCAATATTTTGTTCTATAACAAAACATCCACGTGTTCATTTAAGTGTCACAACACTTTACCTTTTGAGATCGGCTACTTACTTCACAAGTAAGAAATGATATACGTGATGGTCTATCCGTATTAACGATCTCATTATCACTTACGACCACAGACGATTTAAGATTTAATCATTTGTAATTTGTATCTCACAATCACAACTCATTGTGATTAACAAATTATGAAAATTTAAATCTACGGACTCTATTATTTAATTTAATTGTCTATTAATTAAATAATAGATTTGCCATTGAATTGCATTAATTATATATTAAAAGTATTTATGTTCAAGGATGATTGGATTTAGAGCATAACACTTACAAACACTCACTTGCACTAGATCCAATCACTTACGTATCCAATATCATAAGAGTCTACATGAAAATCATGTTTATACTGCAACAACTCTTTGTCAATAGATCTGCAATATTGTCAAATGCGGGAATTCGTTATTCCCTTTAGCCATTTCTATGTATTATCTCTCTAATGAGATAATATCGCCTTAATACACGTTTAGATCATTCATGAGACCTTAGTTCCTTCGCTTTCGCGATGACTCCATTGTTATCACAATACAATGACATGTGATCAACAATATTAGGAACTACTTCAAGTTCATTAATGAACATCTTGATTCACATTGCAACGTTTTGCTACTTTTGAAACAATCACGTATTATATTTTCGCTATTCAATCAACGATTGTTTCATGTTTGGAACCTTTCTAACACACTATTTAAGAGTAAACTAATCTCCATATAAAATCTTGAGAAGATTTTATCTATATGGATTGTGATGAGTTACGCAATCTTTTAGATCTATCTCTATAGATCAAGTTGCTTCCCCATATCGTTCATGAATAGATCGTTTAACAACCATTATTTTAACGATTAAAATATAGGGATGTCGATTCCTATAATATTAGGAATGCGACAATGCTCGTACTATCTTCTCATAAACATACATATTTGATAAAATCACACATTTTAATTTTTCCATCAAATCAAAGATTTTAGTTCTAAGAGATTTGTTTTAACCCATAGTCATGGTATGCAACTATTGCAACCAAAATTCGAATGGACCTTAGCATGGCTACAAGCGAAAAGTTTCATCAAAGTCAACACATTATCTTTGTTTGTTACCTTTTGCTATTAGTCTTGCTTTGTATGTATGGATATTCTCATCCATGTTAACCTTTTATTGTAAACCATTTACAACTTATGGGTTTTATCCCATCAGGAGGGTCAACCAAGATTCCAACCTTTTTCACATAAGTTGAGTTCATCTCGGGTTTCATGGCCTCTTGCTATCTCTTTTAAGTCAATACTTAACTTTATTTTTGTGCAATTAGTAGGTTCATCATCCTGGATCAGTAATACCTGATTAGTAATAATGGATTCGCACCTTTTTCAAGGTCGAATGATCTTACTAGATTTAAATGGAGCTGTCATGTCCTCAGGACTCTTTACTTCCTGATCAAGAATATGTCCCATATCAGATATGGGATCAAACTCGAATTCATCTATTTGGTTAACTATATCCACAGAGTCTTGAACTCTTTCAAATTCTATTTTGCTCCCACTGTCCTCTCCTAGAGTAAACATTTTCTCTAAGAAGATGATATGTCGTGAGACGAAGACTTTCTTCATAATAGAATTTATATTCAAATGTCCGCGTTGAAATCCCACAAATATGTATTTATCGGATTTAGTCTCAAATTTACTCGATTCAAGGAGTTTCAAATAAGCGTCATGGTCCCAAACTTTCATATGAGATAAACTGGGACTATTGTCTTTCCATAACTCGTATGAAGTTCTGTTAACCAATTTAGATGAGACATGATTAGTGTGTAGTAAATTGCAATTAGTGCATGACTCCAAAACGATTTGGGAAGATTTGCATGGCTCATTATTAACTAGACTATATCTAATATTTTACAATTCCTCCGTTCAGATACACCACAATGTTGCAGTGTATATGGAGGAGTTCACTGCAAGAGAATTTCATTCTCTTGCAGCTAATCTAAATTTTATCTTTAAGATATTCTCACTTCGATTGGATCTTAATGTGAGGGTATCTTTATCTATTTGTTTCTCTACTTCTAGCTTGAATCATTTGAACCTTTCAAGAACTTTATACTCGAATTTCATCAAGTATACATGATAATTGATGACATAAGAGAAACCTCATCTGATATTAATTGACAAGGGTCTACATATATCACTATGTATTAGACCAGTAATCATGCAGATATTTTTCCCTTTCAAATAAAAGGAGATTTGGTTATTGTGCCTAATAGTCATGATATGCACTTATCAAATGATTCAAAATCAATTGACTCCACATATACATCTCTATGCAATATTGGAATTGCATTTCATTTATATGACCAAGTCTGTAAAGCCAAATTTAGTTATTATTTAGATTATTACTTTTATACCTTTTAACTTCTATACTCATTATATAATCCTTAGTATTAAAGAATATAAACGTTGTTTTGTAATTTACCATAACTATTATGATCTTTAACAAGATAAACAAGAACAATAATTGTCCTTAACATTAAAATAGTTCACGTCCGAACATGAAATTCATTTTAATGTTCCAGCTGTGATGGGTACAAAGCAACATTTCT